AGCCTGCGGGCCACATCTATTGAAGCCTGCGCGCCTAGGACCCTGCGCAACTAGGGCCCACGCACAGCAACGAAGACCCAACACAGCCAAAAATAAAAATAAATATAATAAATAAATTTATATTAAAAAGAAAAACGATATCCTCAGAGAATAAGAGAAGATAGTGTATCCATGAAACAAGACCAAAACGCTATGAAAAAGAAACACTCAGAGAATAAGAAAGAGATCTTAAAAATCAAAAAAATCACCATTTGAATAAAAAATTCAATGGAAGGGCTGGAAGAGAAAAGTTGAGATTTCCCAGAAAGTAATACAAAAAAGACAAGTTAGTTGTTTTTTTAAGGAAAAGAAAGATAAAATTAAAGACTAGTTCAGGAGGTCTAATATCTGACAGAAAAAGAATAAATAAAACAGGGAGGAAAAAATTGTCAAAATTATATAGGACAACATCCCAGAAATGAGCCCTTTGTTGAAAGGGCTCAGCATAATAAGAATGATGTGCCTACACCAAGGCACATCATTTTGAAATTTAACACTGAGAATTAAGAGAAGATCTTAAGAGCTTTCAGACCCCTTCCTACTATCCCTCCCCAACAAAAAAGCCATAGAGCTAGGAAGAATGGCCTTAGATTTCTAAGTAACAATGGAAGTATTCATTTTTAGAAGTGAATGCTAGGAAAGAAAAAAGTAGTTGCCATTCAAGAAGATGGAAAGGTCAGAATTACGGCAGGAGGCTGCTATTTTTTTCCACTATAAACCTGTTAGGACTATTTTACTTTTTTTAACCAAGTGCATATATTACTGTAACACAACTTTTTAAATTTAATATTATCTCTTTGTGGACATCTTTTTCCTTTGTTCAGAGGTTTTGAGCAAGCAAGTTTTGGCTCCCTATAAGGAGAAGCTTTGTAATAAATACAAGTGTTCAAACATAAACTGCACTGCCTATCATTTTAAGTATTCATAAAGGCTAATAGCCATCAGTAAATCAGGGATGCTCTAGAGGTAGTGGGAGGCTGGAATAGGTGATATGTAAGTTCCTTATTATTTCTTTAGTTTCTGTGATTGTAAGCTTTTGTCCACTTTCAGATTAGTACCATTTGCTCCTTCCCTTCTACTTCTCAAATCCTGGAATGTTCTCCACTCTCCTTTCTATCTAATTAAATCTTTTTTCTAAGACCTAGTTCATAGCCACCTCAGTCAACTTTGATTGGTCAATTCCTTTTTTCTTTTTTTTTTAAAATTAATTTTATTTATTTATTTTTGGCTGTGTTGGGCCTTCGTTGCTGCGTGCGGTGTTTCTCTAGCTGCGGCGAGCAGGGGCTGCTCTTCATAGAGGCGCACAGGCTTCTCATTGCAGTGGCTTCTCGTTGCGGTGCACAGGCTCTAGGCGCGTGGGCTTCAGTATTTGTGGCACGCAGGTTCAGTAGTTGTGGCGCACAGGCTTTGTTGCTCCGCAACATGTGGGATGTTCCTGGACCAGGGCTTGAACCCATGTCCCCTGCATTGGCAGGTGGATTCTCAACCACTGCACCCCCAGGGAAGCTCTGGTCAATTCTTTGGACTCATACTTATCCATATGCCTGTTTGGCCTTTAATTATATATTGTTTTCTATCACTACATATAGGAGTTGTTTTTCCAGTTCATTCCAAAACTTCTTGAGGGAATTCCCTGGCAGTGCAGTGGTTAGGACTCCGAGCTTCCACTGGGCCCCAGGTTCCATCCCTGGTCGGGGAACTAAGATCCTGCAAGCCACACAGCATGGCCCAAATAAATAAATTTTTAAAAATAAAAACTTCTTGGGCTTCCCTGGTGGCGCAGTGGTTGAGAGTCCGCCTGCCGATGCAGGGGATATGGGTTCGTGCCCCGGTCTGGGACGATCCCACATGCCGCGGAGCGGCTGGGCCCGTGAGCCATGGTTGCTGAGCCTGCACATCCGGAGCCTGTGCTCTGCAATGGGAGAGGCCACAACAGTGAGAGGCCCGCGTACCGCAAAGAAAATATAATAAAAAATAAAAACTCTTGAGACCAAGTAGTATGGCTTATACATTTTTATAATTTAGCATAGTACTCAATATATTGTATAATAGGCAGTTGTAAATATTTGTTTAATTTGTGAGTATTTGTTTAATAATTATATGAAGAGCTTATATATTCCGCAATGGTGAAACAAATATAGAGGCCTTCATCCAAGGAGCTTACAATCTTGAATTAAAGGTTCAAAGTACAATGTGGTTGAACCCAAACTAAATTGTTTCTTTGGTATAAGTTTATTTATCTTAAGAAAATTTATATATTAAAAATTTAGAACAAAATTATAATCTACTTTCATAATTGCCACAATTGAGATATTCATCCTTAATACTCTCATCAAGATTCCTTTTCCAGTCCCAAGTAAGTCAGATAACATTTACTAAAAAAATTTTTAAGTATAGTTTCTTTTTTATGTTTTGTTTTAAGATTTTTTGTTTGTTTGTTTAATTTTTTGGCCACGTGGCATGCGGGATCTTAGTTCCCCAACCAGGGATCAAACCTACACCCCCTGCAGTGGAAGCGTGTAGTCTTAACCACTGGACCAAGGGCAAAGTCCCTAGTTTCTTTTTTTACTCTTTCCAGTAAACTATTATGAGGACTCTTAATTCCATGCAGACAAAATCCAAATCTCATTTTGATCTCAATTAGATTTTTGCCTCCTTTGGGTATTAATTATAGATTGTTTAATTAAATGGATGATTAAGATTCTGTATTCAAAATTTTATGTACATTTTTAAGACTGTTTTATAGATCAAAGAATACCTGTACTTAATGCATGTGACTATCAACTTCTGATTGTTTTCAGAAGGCATGGCCCTGACTTCACATTTTTAATGTTTTGCTCTGTTGGTAAAACTATTTATTATTAAAGCCACAATTTCTAAAGGAAGGAATGTTTGATGGGACTTAACACATAGCAGTAGATGATGCTATGACTGACTGCTAGAGTAGATGTGTACACGTGGTTTGGATGTTTTAGAGCAGCACTGTCTAATACATTAGCCACATGTGGCTATTAGCCACAGATTTTTTTTAATTTTAATTAATTTAAACTTAAAAACTGATAATCGATTCAATTATTGGAGAACTTTTAAGTATGTTTGGAAAAATTAGTTATATGAGCTTTTTTATCTATATATTTTATAATTTAAATCTAGATCAAGTATTTCCAATGATAATATAGTATCTAAATTGAGATGTACTTTAAGTACAAAATACTAGATTTCAAAGAAGTGTGAAAGAATGTAAAATATTTCAGTCTTTATCACATGTTGAAATGATATTTTAGATGAAATGATATTTTAGATATAATGGGCTAAATAAAATACATTATTAAAATTAATTTCACCTTTTTAATATGGCTACTAGAATGTTTTAAATTACACATTTCTTATTATATTTCTATTGGACAGCGCTATTCTAGAGAATTTTTACAAGAAACTTATACTTTCATGTTATTCTTGCTGCCAAAATGCTAATTATAATTCATGGTCTAAATAATTTAGATTACAAGAAGACCAGTCTAGGTCCTTTTGTAAAAGTTTTTGAGCAGTTTCTTGAAAACCTGGATAAATCTCGAAAAGGAGAACTTCTCAAGAAGAGTGGTAAGATTCTATACCTTTCCCTTATAGCTATTTAGGTCTTAGTACAGGTAGTTTAAAACATCCAGCAAGTGAACAATTTTTAGAGCTGTAATCTTTCTCCTCTCAAAAAAAGTTACTAGTTTATCTCACTATCCTTAGTATTTTGAAAACTGGGGTCCCTTAATTCAATTCAGCACACACTCATTTTAACACCTTCTATGTGTCAGGTACTATGAGGGAAACAAAAATGAATTATACAAAGATGAATTCCACATGATGGCTCCCCGCCCTTAAGGAGTACTAACTGGTACAAAACAAAGAAGTACAAAATGCTAAGAGATCTCATCTGATTGAGAGAACCTGAGAAGATTTTATATGAAAAGGGTGGTATTTGAACTCTATTTCAGTGAGCTGCTGTATGAATTCTAATCCCCAATGCTAATATATCATACCTTGAGGTATGAGTAGGATTTCCGCAAGCAGAGATTTGATGAGGTAAAGGTACAGGAGTGGGAAAAGGAGACAGGTTGTTCATTCTTGAAGGAACAGCAGGAACAAAGGCATAGAAGCAGGAAAGCATCAAGTCACTCTAGAGGCCATGAAGTAGTACAGCTTATCTGGTAAAAGATGCGTCAGGAAGTGATGGGAGAGAAATCCGAAGAAGCAGACTGAAGCCAGAGTATAGATGGCCTCGAATTCCAGTCTTGGGAGTTTGAGCTTAATTCAGATGGGACAGGGAAGCTATTAAAGGTTTTTGAGAAAGGGAGTGCCATGATTTGTAGTTTTATCTATAATAGAAAGATAAATCTAGCAACAGTATATCTGGGGAGAAGCAGGGGATAGACTGGAGCCCAAGAGATCAATTGAGCTATTAGTATTAGGACAGTAGAATTGGAGATCTCCAAAAAGTGCAAATACTGGAGCCATCCTTGAAACTTGGTAATGATTTTTTGGAAGTTGAAAGATCTAAGTAAAAGTGTCACAGAAGCCAAGGGAAAGGAAAGTTTCAAGGAGATTATCAAGTGTCAAATGCAGTAGAGAACTGATAAAATCCTGTTGGATATAAGAGCGAGAAGGAGGTGCTAGGAGGATAGCAGTGTCAAAGGAAGAGTTCTTTGAATAGGAGACGCCTGAGCATATGTGTAAGCCAAGAGGAAAAAAAATCAACAGTGAATATTATTCAAGAGATTGATGGATACCATAGAAAACTGGCAGTGTTATAAAAATACAAACTCCCTTTCCACTTCATTTTTTAACAAAATGTGTGGTGGTTAAAAAGTAGTGCCTAAGATAATGCTCTAACTCATAGTAGCCACTCAAATATGTGCTTGTTGAATGAACAGTGATGACTCTGAACTTGGAAAGCCTCATTGAAGCTGCCATTCCAACTGGTCATATTAAGTCCTTTGTATTCTTGTTCTGTACTAGCTCAGCCTATAATGTTGGCTTCAGCAAATGTGAAAGCAAATCTTTATGCATGATGTGAATTTAATGGAAGCATTAAGCAAATCAGGATGTGAAATAAATGGGCTTTGTTTTGTTTTCCTTTACTATCCTTGATAAAAATCTGTTCTATTTTAGATTTACAAAAAGACTTCTGAAGATAACAACTCCCTTTTTACCAATGTGGATATCTTCTCCCTTCAACCAAGAATCAAATACTTCAAGAGCCATTTAATAAATATAGCAGAACTGTGTATGTGTCTTAATGCTCAAAGCAAAATTTTCTTTTCTTGAAAAATAGTTATGTTGAAAAGATTCCTGAGACCACCAAAGGAGAATATTCAGGTTCCTGGAAGGAGCAATAATAGGAGGATATAAGTGGATTGCAGATTAATTTGTAAAATTTAATATTATAATTCTAAGATTTCCGATATAGGTACTCACTTCTACCAGTTGCCATATATGGAGGTAAGTGAGCAGTAATATGCCCAAGATTTTGATGTCAGTTCACCAGATTCAGCCTCCATATTTCTAGGTGAATGAGCATTTCGTTCTTAAGTCTTAGACACTTAAGTCAATTATACCTGGAGTGTGTATTCAGTCACTCCCTAAGTTTGCTTACTGATATTTTTATTGGTCAGGCCACACCCTGCTGCTTGTCTTTTAAAAAATTATTTTAAAATGAGCATCTACACCTACTAAAACTTTAGTTCAAAAGATACGAGTTACTATGTTACAATATTAGGGCCTAGTAGAGTATTTTTTACAACTGTTGGCAATTGTAGCTCCTAACTTCTTCCCTCAGAACAATTTTCTAAGCAATTTAGAATAACCAACTTCACCAGCATAAAACCTTTTGTACTTGTCAAAACACTTGGACTCTCTATATCTCCAGCCACTTAAATTTAATTTTAAAGGTTTCATTTCTTCTGTATTTGATTTCATGTGATAGATTCTGAAGTGTCAGATTTCTTTTGCGTGGTTTTACAACCAACCTAACAAAACAGTCATTCTGGTTTACATTCTGTCTTTTGAGAAACACTGAGAAGCAAGCTATCAGGCTGGTGCTTTCCCTGAGTTTTCCTTCCTTTGCACTACCTATAACATTGTATTCTCCATTGCCACAGTCCGTTTTTTGTTTTTTGTTTTTGATTTATATAAAACAGATTCTATAATACAGTCAACACACTGAAATGCCTTTCATTTCTTTCTCTTTTCTAATTTTTTAAGAAAAAATATTAAAGACTATTGTGTAAAATTCCTCATCTGAGCTTCTGTTTACTATGTATTGTTCAGTCTTTTTGGAAAACAGTGACTGGTCAATTAAAACTCCTGAATACAAAATTCCTAAAGACTTGGGACTCCTCTGGTGGTCCAGTGGCTGACTCTGTGCTCCCAATGTAGGGGACCCCAGTTCCATCCCTGTTCAGGGAACTGGATGCCACATACTGCAGCTACAAGTTCACAGACCCAGCGCAGCCAAGTAAATAAAAAAATTTTTTTAATTACTAAAGACTCATGAGTCCATCCTAACTCAGAATGAGTAGAAAGACTGGTATTATGCTTTCAGCAAGAGATGTTTTAGGCTTCCAATATGTCTAGCATTAAAACATTTTAATGCTTTAATATTAGAGCCCTTGATAAAAACCGGTATAATTGCCCATAAAATAAATTACAGAATATATTGTGCTTGTGCAAAAGAGTGTTTGGTTCTTGAAGACAACAGAAACATAAAGACTTGACTTCCCTAGCTGATTTGCCTTCTCATCCATATATGAGAATTGTAGAAACAAAGGGCACAGAACTGGTGTCCGTCTGCAAACTTGCCCAGTTTATAAAGAAACCCAAAGAAAGAAAATACGTCCTTCCTTAGCTAATCATTAACAGAGTCAGAAAAGTCAGTGGGCTTGCTGGGAAAGAAAGGGGAATGGTCAAAATGTAGTTTTGTTTGTCTAAGGAGATGGTTGGCTATTGCTGGCTCTTCTGAAGGTAAATGGACTGCATTGACAAGTCTCCCAGATCACTATTAGGTAGAAATTCTATTAACAATTTTAACACTTTTTAAGTAATGTACATAATTTAATCTTCCTAACAATCCTATGAAGCAGCTTCTGTTATCCCCATTTCATAGATAAGGAAACTGAGGCATATATGTGTTAATTAAATTGCCGAAGGCTGCCATTAGGTAACCTAACAGATTCAAACAAAGGAGTCTGGCTTCAAAATCCATGTTCTTATTCACTCCATAATATTGCCACTCCTGTCTAAAGAGAATTTCAGAATTTTTCATTCCTGGTAAATTCCACTCATTTAATCCTAATTCACTAATCCTAATCCTCACTTCACTATGGTAAAATATCAGAAATTTTAAAGTAGCTTTCAAAGCATTGCTTATCTTAAAAGGCAGCCACCATTGTCTTAAAGCCACTAGCTCAAATAGTGTTAGCTGGTTTAGGTAATGTATGTGTTGAGTCCTTTTGGAGAGAGGATATGGGAGTCAGGATCCCTAGCCTTTTCATTAACAAAACACTGTTACATTCTACTTTTCAAAAATCCTACTGTATAAAGCGTGGGATCCTGGGCCTCTAGAACGGATGAGTTTCAGGATATAATGTCCAAAACAGAAGCAAAAAGAATTGTATATGTGCCTATGTTTTTTTTTCTGAATAGGGGAATTTACACCTTTATAATAATCTCAGTCTAAATTATGTATTCCAAAAATAAAATTGAGGATTAACCTAGGTCACAGCTATCTTCCAATGGTGTGAATACAATCTCTATGGCATTCAGCATTACTTAACACCATATTTTCCTGAATTATTTGAGAAAACGAAGTCAGAAAGTAGCAGTAATACTGCTGTGGCTACTTTACCGACGGGGGAGCAGAGTTTGCTTCTCCTACAATTGCCCTTCGCGTATCAAAAATGCCTCGACTTGGGGGACGGGAAGGGGTCGGCTATCTTAGGACTGCATGGCTCAGAGAAGAGAGTTCCTGCCAGACCAGCGAGTCCTGTTCTAAATTCATACCCTTATTTAGACCTCGTCACCACCCCAGACTGGAAATACCCGAACGGCTCACTGGTTAAAGGAAGTGACTGCCGGCAGCTCCTGACCCGGAATCGGATCCTGGTCCCGCCCCCTTCCCCAGGCTTCGTTCTGCAACAGGCGTGGGTCACGCTCTCGCTAGCTCTCTTTCTGCCGCCATCTTGGTTCCGCGTTCCCCGCACAGTAAGTGCTGTTTTCGTCACGACTTTTTATCCGTAGCCATCCGCCTTTCTTGCGGGCTGAGCCGCCCCGAGGACTGGGAACTAAGGAGAATTGTAGGTTTTATGGGGCCACCGGGTTCCTGCTTAGCCCTGGGCAGTGTGGCCTTGGGGCCTCCGGACAAAATGGGGTCTGCTGTTGGTGTCCTGGCAAAAGCAGGGCAGAAAGGCCGTAGGCCGCGAGTCCAGGGCTGGGGAGATGGGAGCCGTTGCGGCGTCGGGGATGGAAGTGGGTTGCGTCTGGTGTTGGGAACTGCTTCACGAGAACCTAGAGGAGGTTAAGGGGTCACAGCCTTGGAACAGCCCCTCCGCACGCGCGCACACACACACACACTTCTTATTGTGACAAGCGAGTGTTGGGACCTAGGACACCCTGTTTCTCCTCCTGGGTCCCGAAAGTCGGCAAACGGCAGTCCTTGAGGTCCTAGCCCAGGAAGCGGGGCGGGGGGGCGGGGCGGCGAGGGGAGACGACTGTTCAAGGTAGCGTCTGAAGTCTCCCATCCCGTGCTCAGGAGCCAGACCGCGAGCCTCTCCCTCGGGTGGAGAACGCAGTGGTAATTGCTTCTGTGTGGGATTTGGAGTGTGGAATAAAACGAATCCCTGGGCACTGGGAAATCCGCTCTCTGCAGAGTGTAGAGGAGCGGTAAAAGGTGGTGGTTCTGCTGATCAAAAATGGGAGGGTTACGTCGTGGTTTTCACCTATTCCAGATGCTTTGGGGAGGGTTGTCCCACGCTTATGGTTTTCTAACAGCCCTCCGCAGTTTGAAGCTTCACTCTGGGTTGGGCAGCAGAACGGATCCGAGTCATTTCAGGCCTCCTTTTTATTCCCTTCAGAAATGCCCGGTGAAGCCACAGAAACCGTCCCTGCTACAGAGCAGGAGTTGCCACAGCCCCAGGCTGAGACAGGTAGGTTCCCCTAGACCCCTTGCCCTTGATTAAGATTGTAAGATCGACCCTAAAACTGTTTGGTGGGTTAAGTAACAAATAGAATATACTTGTGTATTTCAGTGTTGACTCTCATTAAAGAAGATGGAGCTGTAGCTTTACCAGGGAGTAGAGTCCCTAATAGTAGCTTTCCTGAAAGGACTTGCTTAGAGAGTGGAATAAAAACCGTATATTTAAGATTCGGGAACGTTAAAACCTCCATGGCTTGCTTTGTAGGTTATGAGAGCTGCCTCAAAGGTAGCTCTGTTGTGGAAGCCTCCCCTCACATAGGAAAACTGAGCAGGAAAGGGACTCTGATTCTTACCTGTTGGAACTAGGTGACACACTGGCAGGTCCAGGAGACCTGAGCTTTTGTGAAGTTCCAGCCAGCAGGTTGCAAGGTTTTAGATGGCAGTGCTTGGCATTGTGCCATCATCACATGTCTGGATAAGATGTTTGCTGATGGTAAATGTGTCCTACTGGGCCCCAGGGCCCTCCTAGATTGGTTAACTTGTTTTATGGATTGGTGCTGAGATGTTTCTAGCGTACTGGAACAGTGCCTGCATCAACAGCTTATCTGGAACCAGAATTGAAATAGAGCCTTCCTTTGACTGCTCTTTGGCTTTGGAATTAATGAATGTAGAACATAGTGTAAGGCAGGTTTTGAATTCTGATTAAAATACATTTCTATAAAACTTGAGAAGGGGTAGGGAAAAAAATTTTTACGGTAGTCTCTTGCTGATTAGTTGTGCAGAGCTAAATGAAGGGAATTTTCAGGCTGTGACCTCCATCCTCATCTTTTTTATTCCCCCTTTATGGTAAATTCATTATTTCTTTTTAAACTCCACCTGTGACTTAACGGCAATTTTTGTCTCCTTCTGGAATTAAAATAGAGTTGTTTATAGTTGAAAGCATTAAGGTTCTCCCTCCCCACCTGTCTGATTTTAGCAGCTGAAGGGATTAATACAGCTGCTAGCAAAGAAAAAGGAGGGGGCCTCTGAGCTGGGAAGTAAACTATATGAAATCCTTGAACTGCAGGGGACTTAAGGAAGGTAAAAATAAAGGACTGGTCTCTAAAAGATTCTGTAGTTTCAGTGCTAACAAAACTTTAGAGAATCTCAACTTGATTTTACAAATGTGGAGACTGAAATTCAGATGAATTTAGAATAATCTGGATCAAGCTTCAAAATTAATGCTATTTGCTTCTGAAGCAATCCTTAGTGCTGTTAAACTTACTCCTGAATATTTTGAGATTGCACAGTAGGTTAGATGATAATATTAAGTAAGCACCAGTGATGAACACTTGAAGTTTTTTTAATACATAACTATAATTAAATAATTATTAGAATGAATGAGGAAACTGACTCGGGATTCGTTATGGTGTCTAAAGCGAGTAATTTGGGCCTTAATCCCATCTTGAGGTCCAGTGAGATGAAAACATTCTAAGTTTCAAATTCTGATTAATATGTTTGAGAACATTTGCACTGTAATCATAAGATTTTCACCTACCAGCTCTTGAGGAAAAACTGCTTGAGCCACCTGTCTTTTCTGTAGTTGGGATACTTTTGGTTGAGTGAATTTGGATGCTATAAGCTTTTTTTTTTTTTTTTTTTAAATAATACTCCCTTCTAGGTGTTGAGCATTTGTTGGTCTAATCCTGTGTTACCTCCTGATTAGTAAGCGTGGTATTTTCTCATCATCTCGGAAACCTTTTGCTTAGGTTTACCCAGTGCAGATAGCGCCTATTTTGGCAGAATGGCATACTCATCCGGATTAAGGGGTGGGGATCCAATGTATTTTCTCCACTCCAGCTCCCTACTTTCAAAATAGAACCACAGTCTGGTTTATCAAGTTGAGTTACAGTTTCATAATACAGTTCCTACCCTTGTGACTGAGCTGTCTCTCGTGGTCTAATTCATCTTAGATTGATGTTTGGAGACTTAACATTACTTAGAGACTGTAGAGTCCACCCATTTGTGGTTGGTTTTTTGTTTGACTTGGGTAAGTAAAATGAGGTATAGGGAGGCTAAGTGAAGTAGTATTTAATACACAGTATTAAGGGTCAGATTTTTCCTGACTTAGTGGAAGCCTGAGCATTAAAAGGCCTGTTTTTTTATCATTCAGCTCTGATTCCCCATCATTATTGCTACTGACTATCTTCCTTGTTCCAGTTTTCGGTATTTGTTTCAGTTAGTTCATGCTCCTTGGGTAGACAGGGTAGAACTGTTCTAGTGGTGATTCAATGGCCTGTGAGAAAGACTTAGAGTTTGTTTGAGGGGGGAAGGGAAGAGCACAACTGGGAAAGGGTAGAAAGCAGGCTG